GGTATGTTAGAATCTGACATTGTTTGGTATCTTTGTGATAAATACATGCTTTACACCGTGGTAAGACTAACAAGTAACTTTTAGGCTATATATTTTCTTCCTTTTCTTTTCTATAATTTATCAGGCCAAATGATCTAGTCTCATTGTGAATAATGAAACATTGTTTGCTCCCCATTGTGGATAATGAAACTAAGTGAATTTTAGTTTTACCCATAATGTTTTAATCTATACCTGCACCCGAGTGACAGATGGCATATATCCATTTTACAGAGTGTTTAACACAGTGGAAAATAATATGCTGGGAGTGAGCAGATAACTTGCAGACCTACCCTGGCTCTGCCACTACTGTGTTGTACATTACAGAAGTCACATCCTTCCTGATGACTCAGTTTCCTTGCACAATGAAGTCTGACTCAAGCTCTGATCTCCCCTTCTTTGATGAAATTATGGGGTTCTTGCTAAGATTATACCTGGAATTAGAAATTATTACCTCCTCCTATGAATGAAAATAATGGCGATTTTAAATTAGTTTATTGATTAGAGAAAAGATCACGTTTTTGTAAAACTGACTTAGAAAATTTATTTTCTGATTCTATTTGTGTTACTTCCCTTGAATCTGCCCAAGGAGCAAATTGACCCTTTGTGCCTCCCAATGAGCACACCTTCCTGGGGACTCTGTGTGCTGATCTGTCCGTGTGTGGGGACAGAGGAGAGAGCTGACGGCACCAAGGCAAGTGCTGGGCAGCAGAGATACCACCCATCAAGACCTGATGAGAAGCAGCTTTTTGTTTTTAATTAAAAACATAACTTTTAAAACGCCTCATTCATTTTTTGTTTTTATAGAATCAAAACACAGAAATTTTTCTTAAATGAAAACCAGAAGCCATTTAAACTTTTTTTTAAAGCAAGCAAGTTAAAAAAAAGCAGCTTAGGAAATTGTCTTTTGTAATTCTGCCAGTTTCAATTTTGATTCCTTATGCAACTAGTGTCAGGATAATAATATTTGCTTGAAAAGAAAGAGAAAGATAGTCCTAAGTGGCTGTTTCAAACACATTTTAGTTGTTTGATTGGCTGATGTGTGACTAGCTACTGTTACTGAAGTTGCTTTGATGAACAACAAAAAATAAATTCATCATTTAGATATCCTTAGTAAAGTCATATATAAGCAGATCCTAAAAAGTGTCTATGATAATACTTCTAATTATTTTTGACTACTTCTGTTAGTGTCACAAATTTAAAGGGAGACATAAGTCAAATTTAGATAAAAGATTAAGTTAAATTAAATATAGATGAATAGTATTTATTAAATGTCTATTATTTATTGTTCAGTTTCATTGAAACAACTGGTTTTTTTTTTTTCTAGCTACACCCTAGGACCTTGTGGAAAGAACCCAACATCTCATGGTTGCAAAGATTATGAAATATTCAGCTTTACCCATGGGTATTTCCTGATATTTCTTTAGTAAACTGTAGCCTAATAGAAGATATCAGGAATTAGTGTAAGAAATATTCTAAAAAGCTATTGTCACTACAAAGATGAAAGCAACTTTGATGATCAAAAAGAAGTCAATTAAAAAAGACTGAAAGTAGTTCCTGAATCCTCCTCTATTGTTCATTTGGGATTTCTTAATTTCCCTATTCTCAATATATTATGGAATTTTCTGTGTGAAGCTTTGCCATGAATTAAGTTGATGTCAACAAAAGTTTTACCTTAAGTCATATTTTACCACAAACTAGAGAAGCCCCAGTCCTCCAGGGAGCACCTTTTCCTGCCTTTAAGAAGCTTGTCCTTTTTCCTTCTTTTAGTTATAAGCGTCATCCACAGAGGATGGGGCTCAGTTGACCTTCAGTGACAATTAGACCTGCTGATTTGACTAGAACCAATCCATGCTCCCAACTGAGGAGGCATTTTCATCTCCTTGACTTGGTATGTGATGGCCAAGTCTGCTGTGCTTGTGTTTCCTTTGCTCGTTGCTTTTCTCTGCCCATGAAAAGTCAATGGCATTGGCTCCTGTGCCAGGTATCAGGAACACAATGTCTGCTTTGCTGCCATTCTTAATAAGTTTAATTCCTCGGCCAGTGGCTCATTCCTGTAGTCCCAAGCACTTTGGGAGTTCGAGGTGGGCGGATCACCTGAGGTTGAGAGTTTGAGACCAGCCTGACCAGCATGGAGAAACCCTGTCTCTACTAAAAATACGAAAACTTAGCTGGGTGTGGTGGCACCTGTCTGTTATCCTAGATGCTCGGGAGGCTGAGGCAGGAGAATCGCTTGAACCCAGGAGGCAACAAGAGTGAAACTCCGTCTCAAAAAAAAAAAAAGTTTACTTCATCTATCATTGCTGTCCAGTTTTTTTTTTATTAGCTAGATATGTAACTTGAAAATTGTCATGAAAGGAGCAAAAGTTTGGAGTTCAGATAAACCTGGATCTGAATACTCCTCTACTACTGTGTGACGTTGGATGAGTTACTCAATCACGCTGGATGTTAGTGTGCTAGTCACAAAACTCAGATGATAATACTGATCTTATGTAGTTATTGTGAGAATTAAATGAACTAGTATGTGTAACATTTCTCGTACAGTGTTTGTCATCTTGTCAGCATTTGATAAGGTATAGTTATTATTAATTTTTTTTTTTTTTTGAGATGGAGTTTTGCTCTGTCTCCCAGGCTGGAGTACAGTGGCGTGATCTTGGCTAACCGCAACCTCCACCTCCTTGGTTCAAGTGGTTCTCCTGCCTCAGCCTCCTGAATAGCTAGGACTAAGGTGCCTGCCACCACACCTGGCTAATTTTTATATTTTTAGTAGAGACAGCGTTTTGCCATGTTGGCCAGGCTGGTCTCAAACTTCTAACCTCAAGTGATCTGCTTCCCTCGGCCTCCCAAAGTACTGGGATTACAGGCGTGAGCCACTGCGTCTGGCCTAGTTATTATTACTTTTTTATTTTAGTATTATTCTATTTTGTTGTCCTATTGTTGGCTGTATTACAAAGACACTGTATAAAAATGTCTATAAAATTAAATGAACTAGTATGTGTAACATTTCTTGTACAAACACTGTACAAGAAATATAAGAAATGTTACACATACTAGTTCATTTAATGAATTTTTCATTAATGAATTTAATGAAATTTAATGAATTTAATCAGAGAAGCACAGCCAGAGCCCGCACTACTTGTGAACTTCTTGTTTTGTGATGTAATAAACTGCTATATTTTTTATGTCAACCATGGGTGGGATAGTCTGTTACTTGCACATAACTGAAACAGGTATGCATACACTTTTTGCCGTTGTTTTTGTTTTTGAGATGGAGTTTTGCTCTTGTCACTCAGGCTGGGGTGCAATGGTGAGCTCTCAGCTTGCTGCAATCCCTGTATCCCAGGTTTATATATACATATAAAATGTATATGTATATATGTATATTTATGCATATCTTATATACGTGATATGTACATATACATGTGATACACATACGACATGGAATTATAGGAGGGCAAGTCAACTCAGCAAGCATTAATAGTCAGCATCTATTAAGTGCTTACTTCCATCACTTTGTACAATCCTCTACCGTGGGATCCCGTTTGTAAACATCTCCAGAGATTAAAAAAGAAAGAAAAAAAGCTTCCTTATTAGCCTTACTTTTGCATTTATCCTTCCCCCAAGGTCAGAATGAGCTAATCTAATATGCCAATATTCCTGTACCGAGTTTTACAACCAAAGTATAAACATCTATCAATTCCTAGGACTGTTTCTGTTCATAATGGATTGGTGGCACTTAGATCAACATTAGCAATGCCATACTCAATGGCTGAGGACCATGCATTTATAAAGGGTTTCATCAAGACTCATGGTCCCTATTGATATATGTTGACTTTTTACGTTAAATTGTCAAAATTATCACTAAGTGTAATTTATTATAACCAGAAGAGTTGGGTGAAAATAATGCTGTTATTTAAAAATAAAATAGGTCATTAGCTATTGTCATAGCCATACTATTCTGGGTTATATTACATTTATTTTGAAAAGAAAGGAAAGAAAGAAGAGCAAACTAAAATTCAAAAGAAAACATGATTTTATGCCTCTTAAGCAAAATAATATCCATTTATTTTGAAACAATGACATAGCAGACACTATTGGCTGCACATTCAACTCTCCATTTCCCCTTCTTTTTGTTCTGGTTTTCCTTCTTCTCCCAGTTTCATCACCAGCAGGTGGATACTGATTGGTCTAGCCTAGTCTACTCAGTTCTTTTGCCAGGGATTGGACATGCCAGGCTGACCATGTGACCTTCTTTGGCCAATGACATGTAGAGGGAGGGGGTAGGTCCCAGGAAAGATTTCCTTACTCATTAGACGGAGACCCTAGAAATTGACAGCCCCTTTCTGCCTCTGGATAGTGCAGATCTGGGCAGGATGCCTGGCACTGCTGCAGCCATCTTGAAGTTGCTTCTAGAATGAAGCCAGCACTGGAGGTAGAGCCATGAGAATGCAGAGATGCACAGCCAGAGCCTATACTACTTGTGAACTTCTTGTTTTGTGATGTAATAAACTGCTTTATTTTTTTATATCAACCATAGGTGGGATAGTCTGTTACTTGCACCCAAAGCATCTTAGCTGAAACAGGTATGCATACACTTATTTTTTGTTGTGGTTGTTGTTTTTGTTTTTGAGATGGAGTTTTGCTTTTGTCACTCAGGCTGGAGTGCAATGGCGAGATCTCAGCTCACTGCAATCTCTGTATCCCGGGTTCAAGTGATTCTCCTGTCTCAGCCTCCCAAGTAGCTGGGATTACAGGTGCACACCCAGTTAATTTTTGTATTTTCAGTAGACATGGGGTTTTGCCATGTTGGCCAGGCTTGACTCAAACTCCTGACCACAGGTGATCCACCCACCTCGGCCACCCAAAGTACTGGGATTACAGGTGTGAGCCACCACACCCAGCCGCACACACTTCTTGACCTAGAGAAAGTAAACAAGAGAGTCAAATAGGAAAGGAAAGGGTACCTGTTCCTGTGACTCCAGTTCTCTGTGTTGTAATTTTTTCTCTGCACATCGCACCTGGTTAGAGCGGTTTTCTAGTTCATCTTGTAAAACCTGAAATGGTATAAAATAAACAATCATTAATAATTAGGATACTTGAAAAAATAGTTTTACACCATGAACTGGCACTAAAAAGGCCTCAGATCTCTAGTTTATTACTCTTGTTCCAACGCATTCAGGCAAACAATCTGAATTATGTGTGTCAGGCTAAGATGTTTTCTGCTTTAAGAATACCTAGTATAAAAAGTTCCAAAGTTATAAAATAGACAAATTAGCAGACGTCAATCACATATTAAAGTATCTTGTATTTCCAGCACAGAACCACAAGCATATAATAAAGTGTACGTAATAAAGCATAACACTATTGTAATTAAAATGACTCTCTCAGGACACCTGCAAGGTACACTTGCACTCTGAATATCATTGCGACAGGTAGGGATTCTAATATCTGACCAGCATAACATTTTTCAAAATTATATTATGATAATTTGAGTAAATTATAGTAGTCTTAAAGGAATTTTTTTATAAAGTCAGAGAGGATGGTATGGAATTTGTGGCGCTTATAAGAAATGGACAGAGGTGAACTCTTTCAGTTGCCAAGTAGCTGTTTGAAATAGAACTCAGGTTAATATGTGAAATAGAAACCATAAAGACCAGTAATTATCACTGAATCAATTACTATGTTAAGAGGTAACTAGACTTTTTTTCTAGTGTATCATTGTTTTACTGCCCTTGAAGAATAAAACATTTACTTCTATTCTGCTTGTTTCTTAACGTACAGATGGGAGATAGTATTTAAATAAAGTTGGTGTTTTAAAATGTAAAAAAAAAAAGTTTCCATGTACTATTTCTATAATTACACTGGATTGTCCATTCAAACAATCCAGTGTAATTATAGAAATACTACACGGAAAGTTACAGTGAACAGAATGCATGGGGTGGTAATAGCAAAGGGGTTCAATTCACAAAATTCAATTCATCCAGCCAATATTAGTGAGTTCCTGCTCTATGTCAAGAATTGCAATAGGTACTCTAGACATAGCAGTGAAGAAAACAGACAAATCTCTGGTCAAGCACTGTGGTTCACACCTGCAATACCAACACTTTCAAAGGCGAAGGCAGGAGGATCACTTGAAGTTAGGAATTCAAGACCAGCCTGAACAACACAGCAAGACCATTTCTACAAATTTTTTTTGTTTAATTAGCTGGGTGTGATGTGCAAACCTGTGGTCCCAGCTACTCAGGGTGCTGAGGCAGGAGGATCACTTGAGCCCAGGAGTTTGAAGCTGAAGTGGGCTATGAGTGTGCCACTGCACTCCAGTCTGGGTGACAGAACAAGATACTGTCTCAAAAAAAAAATCCTTGTATTCACATGCTTAGATTATAAGGGGGTGGAGGTAGGCAATAAGCAAACAGTAAGTGTGTTATATATCAGTGATGGGTGCAGAAGAAAAATAAAGCAGGGAAGGGGACATTCTGGAGTGGTATGAGAAAGGGGGACTGCAATTTTAAACAGATGGTCCAAGAAGGCCTAACTGGGCAAAGACCTGAAGGACAAGAGAGAGCAAGTCACATGTGAATTTCCATAGGAAGAGCCTTCCAAGCAGTGGCCACTACATGTGGAATGACTCCAAGGTGGTGTGTTTGTGGAAGCCATAAGGTCAGTGTTGAGAGTGAGCAAAGAAGCAGCAGTGAGGTCAAGGACTTAACAGGGTTCAAGTCACATCAGGTCAGTGGAGTCTCACAGGTCAAAGGCTTTAGATTTTGCCCAGAGGTAGATGGGAAGCTGCTGGGTGGTGGGGAGCAGGTGCTGCTTTCATTGCTGTCTGAGGAGCAGACTGAGGGGCAAGGCAGAGGCAGGGAGCCAGGCAGAGGCAGGGAGCCGGGCAGAGGCCACTATAACACTGGGAAAGGGAAGATGGAGAACAGGGCCAGGTGGTATCAGTTGATGAAGGAAGGGTCAGGTCCAGGTTTGAAATAGAGATGACGACCCTCAGGGAGTGGAAGCAGAGAGAGGGAAAAACAGGACCCCAAGGATTCTGGTCTGAGCATCTAGAAGACTGCAGTTGGCATTCACAGAGAGAGGGCAGGTCTTGCGGGAGAGGAGCTGGAGCTCCGCCTCAGATGGGTTAAGTGTGAAATGCCTATTACACATCCAGGTGGAGATACTGGAGTTCAAACACAATGGCTAAGTTAGTGTCCATTAACAATTCCTTCAATACAGGCAGGAAATCACACTGCCATGTGTGTACCTATGCAACAATCTTGCATGTTCTTCGCATGTACCCCCAAACCTAAAATGCAATAAAATAAAATAACATAAAATAAAATAAAAAAGTATTCAGGAAAAAAAAATTCCTTCAATACAATGCCAGTCTTTTTCATGTCCAGATAAACAGTGGTTCTTAACCTTTTGGGAGGCTCTAGACTCCTTTGAGCATCTGATGAAAGCCATGCAGACACTCCCTAGAAGGAGAAAAACCATAGTTTTATGATTTTGCCTCTCACTGTAGGGTGTTCATAGATTACCCGAAGCCCATCTGTGAAGGGACCCCAGGTTAAGAAATAATTTAAAAAGTGAAATGGTTTGTGAATGAGCCTGCATGCTTTAGGGTCTCTTTGACATTAGACTTGATTATAAATCTACAAGTCAATTGGGTCTGAGAATGAGCTTGGAAATCTCTCCATTCTTGAATTCTCTATAATTCTGTTATTGTGCTCTATTTCTAAAAGGATAAATGCAATTGTTCCTGTGCTTGTTGATGAGGTAGCCTTCCGCCAGCCCCCTCCTTTCATAGCTACCAGTATGAAGGATCTCATCAGCTTCTCTTACGGCATAATTGGGAAAAGTAATGATTACTGTATTGGGAAGAATATTTATCCATCTTTTTGGCCCCCACTTTTCCTGCTCTCTAATCCATCCTCACACCACTGTCAGAGTGATCTTCTTAAACCTAAATCTGATTATGTTGCTCCCTGAATGAAATGCTTAAGCAACACTCCAGCCTTCCCTGAGAGACAGCTCTCACTCCTTAGCACGGCATACATGGGCCTTTATCAATCGGCTTGGTCTCCGGCCACAGTGCACTGCAGGAGGTCTTGGCGTGCCATGCAGATGTCATTACCAGCAGTAACAACAGGAGCTATCATTCACAGAGTGGATTTTATTTTCCAACCTTATGACAATTTTGTGCACCCAATATCATTTCATCTATGTTAGGGAGGATGTAATTGAGGCTCCATGCAGTTAACCACCTTGCTTAAGTCCACGTGGTTGGCAGTAAGGCGCTGGACTGGAATTTTAACACATTTCTGTAACTTCAAGTTCAATACATTTGGGCTACTCCATGTTGCCTCTTTCCCGCTTAGTACTGATTTCCTCTTTTCTTTGCTTGGGAGTTCCTACCGCACCTACTCTGTTCAATGATGTAATTGCCCTGATCTCTATCAAGAGCTAAGTATGGACTTCTCTGGGCTTTTATCCATCTAATGTTTAAGAGAAATAATTTATATGTCTGGGTGGCACGCAACTGTCTGTATGCAACTGCAGCTCAGGGCTCTCATGTCTTCATCTCTGCAAGCCCAGTGCTAAGCCAGCTCAACGCCTGGCACACAAGTGACACTGAATTCATGTTTGTGAATGGAACTCATAAACATCTGAACTCTACTCCCTAAAGACATTTACTTCAATCATCAGGGCTTCTGACTGTCCTGCATATGGGACATTTAACCAAAGGTTATTATGTGTCATGAGATACAAAATATACAAATATATCCTCCAAATATTTCTATCTATCTCTGATCATACACACACATATCGTAATGATAATAATTGACAATATCTGGTTTCTGCTACAATAAAAAATACTCCTTTGTTTTTCTTTTAATTTTATTTCACAGAAAAGAAAGATGGCACGCCTCTCCCTTGTTTTTAACAAAGCCCTATTCCCCACCTCCTGGCTTCTCTCCCTCCTTGCCTTCACCTGCAGAACCCTGAGGGTGCCACGCTAAGCGTCCCATGTCCTCCCTTGTTCTCTGCATACTCCATTAGACCTGCCCCCTGTCCCCACTGCTTTCCTGAGTCAATTTTCATACCAGTCACTTGTCACCTCCCAAATGCCAAAGCCAGAAGCTAACTTTCTTCCTTTTTCTACAGAAGCATTTGGCACTATTCAAGCCCAGTTGTGTTCTTCTCTTGAATTTTGAGGAAATAATTCTGCTCAGTGAAGTCAAGGGATTAAAAAAAAGAGGATGCTACAAAAGTGAAGGGAGAAGACAACAAGGTCTGGAAAGAGGGCGGTGAGTACATAGAAGGGAGGGATGTGGCAGAACCATTGACAGGGGGTTGGGAAAAAGAGGGACTCAGGCACCACAAGGCTTTGAGACGGAATGACCAGAGAACAGTGAATTCTTGCTAATCACAGGTCGGAAGCGGTGGGGCAGTGTGGTTTCTAACATGCTGGGTTGAAGGTACTGGCAGGACTTTAAGGAGGAACTATTGTTAGAGTCTGAATACTTGTGGCCCCTCAAAATTCAGATGTTGAAATCTTAACCCCCAAGGTTATTAGGAGGCGGGACCTCTGGGAGGGAATGTCTTCGTAAATGGGACTGTTGTCCTTCTCAAAGCTCTGAGTGAGGTCCCTGGCCCCTTCTACCATGGGAGGACATGGCACAGAGATAGATGCCAATGAACTAGGAATCGGGCAGGCTCTCCCCAGATGCTGAATCTTAGATCTTGGCTCTCTCAGCTGAGCTGTGGGAAATAAACTTTTGTGTTTAGAAGCCACTCTGCCTGAGGGATGTTGTTACAGCAGCCAGTGCTCACTAGGACCCCCAGCTAGCAGATCACGTTGCTCAGTGGGTCTGAACAGTGAGGCATGATCTCAGACAGAGGCATAGAAGAGGTTCTAAAACCTGCCCTTTGGGTGATGCCCACACTCAGGCAGAGGAGGAGAGGGAGGCCAAGAATGCTGGTCAAAGTCCAGATAGGCAGGAGGCAACTGAGGGGAAGTTAGGATGACATATTACAGAAATCTAGCTGAAAGAAACTTCCA